AATTTCAAAATCAAAAGTTATCAAAACAAATTCTATGGGACTGAGAAATATTATTTTCTACTTTTTAGTCCATTTATAAAAGCGTTGTATATTAAAAAGTTTTTTTTATATTATTTATTTTCTACTTTTTAGTCCTGTCTGAATAAAATTTTGCAATAGATATTAAAATAATTCAACGATATTAATAGAAAGGTGCACACACATGCATTTACATATGTATGTACATACAAACGAGCACCAATTAATTTTATTTAAAGAAATGGCGTGTCGTCTATTTCAGCTTCAGCAAAGGTAGTACATAGGGCGACATCTAGATGCCATCTACCTCGCCCTATTCACTACAGATGTCGCGCTATGCACTATGCTTTTTTATAGGAACTTTTCAAAGCAAAGGTTTTATGGTGTCGGACACACAACATTGAAAGTTTCTGGATCCACAACATTGAAAGTTTCTGGAGCCACAACATTGCAAGTTGATAAAAGCGTTGTAAAAAGAACAAATATTCTGACGAATTAATAAAGTCCCCCTTTTTTGAAGTCGGTTTAAAATGTTTGAGTTCTTTGTTAATTTTATGTAAATATAGTACAGTTTATGAAACTTTAAAAAGTTTATTTATTTATTACATACTGTACATAAAACTTGCATAAATGCATTTTAAAGAGCCTATTATCTGAAGCGAATCTTCAGAAGTATAAACCCCTCCCAAAATATATTCCTGGGTGCGCCCCTGAATGCACTAATTAAGATCGATTTGCCATACAAAATTTGCAATTCTTAATTGCTCGATTGGTAATTAATTGAATGTTTAATCGAGTCAAAACCCCAATGCAACTCTGTTAGCTAAGTTCGTTTTCTTAGTTTTGGTGTGTTCAGTGACGAATGACAATCAGCTGTTTGACATAAATAAATTATTTTCTTGTTGTGATTCGAAAACAGCAAAACACAAAAAACAATTCCACAGCGCTTACAATGCAGGATAATCTGGATGGTGAGTAAATATACAAAAAAATGGTTATGTGCAAATTTAGTAATAATCTCATATGTGTTTTATTTCGATTAGGTAAAAAATTGAAAAGCAAAAGCTGGCTTGGGCTGCCGATGGCGAAGTGGCCATTCTTGACTTGTGGGCAGAGCGTGTTGCTGATCTCCGCAGCGCACGGAAGAATGGCCACATCTACGCGGAGATGGTGAAGGAGCTGGCAAAGTTGGGCCATAGCTACAGCGCCCGGGACGTACAAGTAATGTTGGCAAACTTTACGCAGCGGTACCGGTAAGAAAAAATAAAGTAATACTAAAAAAACTAAAAATGAAATTGCTTATAGGAAAGAGAAATTGGGAATGGGACCTTCTGGGGGATCACCCTCAACATGGCCTCTTTACGGAAGGGTTCACGAGATTATCGGTGGCTTTAAGGCTGACATATATAGTGAGCTGACACTCGAAAGCATCGGCGGTACGTATACCATTGGGATTTTATTGAAAATGTGAATGTGCTTTTATAAAAACTTCCATTTAAAAGCGAATCGCAATAAATTTCTTGCAGATATCGTTAATTTGAGACCTAACAGTTGCTTTAAGCGCTGGTTTAAGTACGAACATACAACAATACTCCGCACGAGCACGGAAACACTATTGAACCAAACCTCTATATCTCTATGTTATTCGACGCGCTGAATGCGAATCTGAAAAGTCAACACAATTCTTCTGAATTTGGCCTTGAGATGCCCTCGGGCCTGATGTGATGGAAGCTAACAGATTCGTATTCAGTGCGTCGAATAACATAGGGATATAGAGGTTTGGTTCCATATGCAGAAACTTTTTTTTTGTAAACCTGTGAAATTAATAAAAAAATGTTAATATTTTGCCCGGAAAAGAAAATATTTATTATAACGTGGATGAAGATTCATAGGTGGGAGTCACATTCCCTACGGAATCGTTAAATTCACTTTATTTCAGTGGAGTTGCACCTGATGAATTTGGATTAAAAGTTCAAACATTTGCGATGTTAATCTGCAGTCTGTATATGTACATACTTACATAAAAAATGTATCAGTTTTTTTAGGAAAAAGAAAAAAAATTTATTTTTTAGACGAAGCACCCCGATTTTCGGGGATTATTACTTGTTTTATTTATATAATTGTTTGGCGTTTTCTTTCAAACAGAATTCGATACTGCATCGCAGCCATCGCCACTGACCTCAACATTGTCATCACCTCTGCCATCACCTCTTCCCTCACTGCTGACCACACCGCTGCCCTCACCGTCGCCACCGTTGCCATCGCCATCATCGCCAATGCCAAATACCTCAGCTTCTGCGATCGAACCTAAACGAAAACAAGTAAGAAAGTCTAAGTTCGAAAAAAATTACACCGTCCGCAAAAAAAAGCCAAAAAACAAAGGGAATTTTTAGTAACTTTAAACTCGCACTTCGTTATATGTACTAAAATTGAATGGGCTATAAACCTGCATACTTAGAATTTTTCTAAAAAATCTGATTACAAAGTTGCAAATGTATTAAATTTTCCTGAGTTTTGCACAAAGTTTAGTAATTTTATTTTTAAGTTTTTTGTGGTAGTGTGAACTATATTGTCATGAAGTCAGCGAAAAAAATTAAAATAAAAAATTTGGATTACATTGCGAAAAATTCTCTCTATTTAAACTTTTGTCTTTGACTGTAAATTAAAAAATAAAATAATAAAAAAAAATTACTCACTGAAATAATTACATAGTCCTTGTCGTATTTCTTCAGCTGAGGGTTCATTGTCTCCAATCACTACCGTTAGTTCCGGATTTTCGCGATTTCTGCTCACCTCCTGCAATCTCTCCATCGACATATCATTGATGGTGTCGTTTATTTCATTTAAGAAATTATGTAGAACGCAGCAGGCTCTAATAATAATCGGTGACTTCCCAATTCGGTTGTCTATACCTTTTCCAACACGACGGAATCGTCCTTTCAAGTGGCCAAAGGCATTCTCTACCACTCGCCTACATTTTGAGAGCTTGTAATTAAAGGTGGAAAATCGGAACGCAGAATCTCCTATTAAACATACAGGCATTTGTACTCCACCTATTTCTTTCTGAGTGGTCGTCAGTGATTCATCCTCCATTACTTGCTTCATTAGTGATGCATTGTATATCTGTGAATCATTGCATCATCCTGGGGCGCCAATGTTCACATATAAGAAACGGTATCTGTATTTATAAATCATATATGCTTATTATTATAAAATAACAGGATGAAACTGGTGTTACCTGTAATCCACTACAGCTAGTAGAACATTGGAATACCATCCTTTGTAGTTGTGGTAATCGCTTGCATCGGATGGATTCGGCTTAACTTCAATGTGACACCCATCTGAACATGTATAGATGTAACTATATGCATATATTTTTGTTTTTATGTAAATTAGTTGAATTTTCTATTTCCTTACCAATTGCTCCTAGGCATTGTGGAAAGCCTATTCGGTGGAAACCATCAATACAGCCATTTAAAGTTTCCGGAGTCGGTGGTAACTTTTTTATATATTGCGCTGCCAAAGCTTGCCAGACTTCTTCGCAGAACTCCCACAAAATTGTGCACACAGTCGAGACTCCAACACCAAAAAGCTCCGACACCACTCTGTATTCCCCAGATGATCCCAGCGTAAATAAAGCGATCGCAATATGTTTTTGCAATGGAATCGCGTTGCGCCAGTTTGTGTAAGCTTTGTGCAAATTTTTGAGAAAGCAACAGAGAGTGTCAAAACTGATGTGGTTCATGCGGAAGTGCGTCTCAAAGAAGTGGTCGTCGTTGCAATTGCAATTAATCTCCCAGAAAGAAGATAGCCGATTCTATAATAAATAAAGTGTCATCTATAAAAGGAAAGTAACTGATTTGTTATAATTTCATTTACCAACTTCAGATGGATCTCTGAGTAGCGTTCCTCTGTAAAAATCCGCAAGGTAGTAATTGCTGTATTCGCAAATGTTGCAAAATTATAAAGTTTTGCTGTTTTCTTTTTTTATATAAAGCTAGTGCACTGTCGTAATTAGCTTGCGCTGACTGCAAAAGTTGTAAATTAGCAGCATACGCCAGGAAAAGTTCGTTTAAACACGAATTGTTCTCCATTTTACCAAATTTACAAATTCATTATAATTAACAAAAAATTATTTTGTGGCAGGTGATAGTCTCTCCTAAATCGAGCAGCTGATTGTGTGTCAAAGACAAAAAAAGATTGCTTAATTAAAAACTTTATTGACTCAATTAACTGCCTGTCTGAAAATAGTATAACGCTGTTTGCAAGTGGACTACTCATATGTATGTATTTATGTATTTCTGCGCTCCTATTACAATACGAACAAACTTGTTTGCAGAAAAAGGTAGCAAAATTTAAAACAAAATGTATTTTCATAACTTACGAAATTCCAAACGCTGAGTGTTTTGTATGTGAAGTAAAATATTCAGATCTACCGTACTCTGTTTGGCTAGAAGTTTGAATGAATTCATGCAGCCCTCTATTATGTCCATACATACATTCAAACGTATGCATATTTAAAATGTTTAGGCATACTAATAATAAGCTTTTTGTGGTAATAAGCTCTTTGTGATGCCTGAGAACAGATTTATTTTTGGAAATTGGAAAAGCTCCATTGGAATATTTTACACTGGAATGGTCAATAAGAAAAACAAATGTTATAAAAGAACTTAAGCGGTGTTGAATATTGCGAGTTTTCGAGAAAGAAGTATCGAATTTAAATGGTTATAATAATAATAATGGGGGACGCTGGGGAGGGGTTTATACTTCTAAATATATATCATCAGAAAATACTGAAAATTCGCTTCAGATAATACGCTCTTTAAAATACATTTATGCAAGTTTTATGTAATAAGTAAATAAACTTTTTAAAGTTTCATAAATTACATTTTACAAAGAAATCAAACATTTTCAACCAGCTTCAAAAAAGGGGAGGTTATCAATTCTTCGGAGTATTTTTTTTCTTTTACATATGTATGCCCTAGTGAAGTAATATAAAGTGTACCAGCTAACTGACGTCTTCATATTTGAAAGCAAAATTTGATTTTGTTACTATTTATTTATTCTTTCATTTCTAGTGTTCCCTTTTTTCAAATCTGGCGTTAACCCTTGGTTTTGTTGCATACCTCTGTTCAATTTCGGCTTAGGTCCTCAACCTTCCGGACTGAAAGTATCAATACTACAACGCTATGTGTGCTTTCGCACAAACGGCAAGAATTTCTTGGCATTTTTTTTTAGTTTTTTATTCAAAACATAAAAATACATAAGTTCTCACTCAAAAGGGTTAACGTGAAAGTCAAATCAAAAAAAATTTTCTGATAATAAATTGTCAAATAAGTGTACCGGAATAGAATGTCATTGCTATCTGGCACACTTTATATTATTCCACTATGATGTATACCACCATATATAGCTTTGGCCCGCGTGAACCGATTCTAATAATTCTTTTTTTACCGGAAAGATGGTACCTTAAGGGTCGTCCCGTAATTTGGTTTAGTTCCGATCATTAAATCATGAAAAAGTTAACGGTACTTCTAAATTTCTATAGGAGAATTGAGGTCGGTTTTGCTTTTTGCTTAAAAATTACTTGTTTAAAAAAAGTTCTATAAACACAAGATGCACTCAACTTTCAAAGGTAATACAAAATTTTACAAAAGAATTTTAATATAAATAAATTAAATAATTCCATGACATTTTTACACATTTATATTCATTTTCGTCGATTTCTGGTTTCTTATTTTTTAATACTTCGAATACCGAAAATTTAACTGAACTTGTATTTATCGTGTAGCTCATTTTGGTGGAACGAATTCGAAGTTGGCAAATTAAATCTTCGAACCCCAACCCCACCCCTTGTGTGCGCTAATGCTAAGTGCTCATATTTACTCAACTTCAAACACCTTGTGTGTAGTTTTTCTCTACGTGACAAATTTGGTATGTAAAAGTAAACAGACAGTATTTAATTTTGCACACACTTGGAGAGGAAACTAGTTACCTCTCTTTATATGCGTAAATTTAAACAAATTTTTTTAGAGGAAATTTTAAACATTTTATGTGGAAACTGTGAAATTGTTAACAATAAATGTTTAGAACGCAAAAAACAAATTTGAAATTTGTTCTACGCCACACATATGATAAGCAAAAGTAAGCAAGCAGTGTTTAATTTAATTAACACAGTGTGTAAATTTGCATTCATTAAGAGAGGAAACTGGTTACCTATCTTAATATGCGCAAATTTAAATACAAATTTTTTAGTGTATGTATTGTTCTAAAACAAGACACTTATTCCCAGCGATCTAAAAATTGTACAGAGACAAATTATACATCTGAAACTTTGCACAAACTTTACAGACTTAAGATTCATTGAAACACTTCCGAAATATTTGAGTCGAAAAATATTCAAATTTTTAAATTGATCAAAGCATTGCTAAGTTCATTTCGATAGGCAGCGTCTCAGCGGAACAAAAGAGAATGAAAAATTCTTCCACTTATTTGCTCTCGTCCCTGATTTTGTTTTATATCGAGCAAAGCATTGTTACGTTCGTGCGATTGTAGGCAGCCATACAGCGGAAGATTTGCACAAAACAGAAATGTTGCTTTTGGCTCTGTACACACAGTCATATACATATAAATCTTACATAGTTTATTTTGCCGTTTTTTTTTAGACAAATATGGTTCGATACGCATTATAAACGTACAGAGGAAATTTATATATCAAATTAAAGTGCTCGATCAGAAACTTTGCACAAACATTTCAGATTTAAGAATCATTTGATATACAGTGACGAACAAAAGTATTGGCACAGTGCAATATATGCAAAGTTTTTTATTCTAATTTATTTTCTATATTTTTTCATTAAAATATAGTTCATTTTACACCAAAAAATATAAAAATAAAATCTCTTTCAGGAAAATTCAATAAATTTGCGCACTAATTTGCAACTTTCTATTCAGATCTTTTAGAAAAATTCTAAGTATGCAGTTTTATAGTCAATTCAATCTTAGTATGACAAAATGCAAGCTTAAAGTTGCTAGAAAATCGCGTTGATATTTAGCAATTTTTTTAGTGTTGCTCATTTTCTCCATGCGAAAAATAATTGTCGAATATACTTTGTATGGAAGAACTTGCGTGAAAAAAATTACCGAAAATCAACGCGATTTTCTAGCGACTTCAAACTTGCACTTTGTTATACTAAATTTGAATGGGCTATAAAACTGCATACTTAGAAAGTTTTCTAAAAAATCTGAATAAAAAGTTGCACATTAAAGTGCAAATTAAATGAATTTTCCTGAGTTTTGCACAAAGTTTAGAGATTTTAGAATGAAAATTAATGAGATGTAGAATGAACAATATTTTTATAAAAAAATATCGAAAATAAATTAGAATAAAAAATTTTGCATATATTGCGAAAAATTCACTGTGCCAATACTTCTGTTCGGCACTGTACATATTTGCGCGGAAAGATTTTTAAAATATTACATTGAGCAATTTTAAAATCCAAAACTGAATCTCACACACGCATTCTCATTTTCAATTTCCAACAACAATAATTTTAAGCAATTTCATTTCTTTATGTTCAATTTTGTATAATATGAAAATGCTGGAAAACTTGAAAAAAATCCTGACTGACGAAGTGAGCGAACGGTAAAGTATTTTAAACTCTCAATAAATATTCGTTTCAGAGAATCTGATTCTTTCAGTTTGCGGTTTAGAGAAGAACTCTCTCCATACTCAAAAATTAAGACAAGTGCCACCACTGACTATTTTGCGAGATTTAGTCGACTGGGTATTTGAACCTTAGCCTGGTGTAATTAATTAAAACCACTTGGAGGATCGATAAGTTTCGTATCCAAAAAATAAGCACTGTCAGATAGTTAATATGTTGTCCGGATAAGAAAGGGCGTCGATATCTACTGTTGTTTCTAAATATCCACAGGAGCAAGTAGGAGTAGGGAAGATGCACCTCATGACTTGATAGTAAAAGTTGGAGCAGTTGTGATGTTAATACGCAACCTAAATATGTACATATGAAGATTTAGTTAATGGTCTCGCCTAATAGTTAAAAAACTACAATATAATTGTTCGGATGCCGCAATACAAATATGTACATATAAAGGGTTAGTTAAAGGACTTTAAACATGTGATTGATTCAAAAGAAAACGAATTTTACTACCCCATATAAAATAACAGCCCAGCGAATCAACACTTCCTTTTTTATTAAATCGTCGCGAATTCAAAATTATTGTATCGTTCGCAATAACAATAAATAAGTCACAAAGTCAGACCCTAGCAAGAGGATTGCTTTAGGCATGGCCAGCTATG